TGCCACAGTGTCCTTCAGGGGGCGCTGTTGTATTGGCTAATAACGTCCACTGCAGTCTGTCCTTGTTCCTGACAGTGTGATTCATAAATTAATTTCATTCACTCTTTGTAGCCTACAAGCCATGAAAAGATCCAAATTAAATGCATTTTTATTTTTTTAAAAAGCTACGAACATTAACACTTTGTATTTGTGTAAAATATATTTTGTTATTCATACAGTATTTGAATAAATACAGTTAAAGTAGATAAATAAAATGAGGTCTAAGTTAATTTAAAAAAAAAAAAAAAACTTGTACAATTATTCTATAAAATATGATATTTTAAACAATATTTTAACCCTGTGATAAATACATGTGATTTAACCACAGTTAACATGTGATTTAAACATCAATCAACTGTATTGATTTCCGGGGGGTTTGTTTACTTGCTCTTCTTACCCACGTGATTGCAATGCGGTCACGCATGCGCGCTGTGGGGTTTGGGGATTTTGGCATACGTCTGTGTCGGTGGCGCGCACAGCCGAAAACAACCCCCAGCCACGCGTGCACGCTTGTCCAGAGTGTGGCCTCGGGTTGATTGGCTGTGGAGCGTTAGCCCCGCCCTCCCTCGAAGCGGATTGGCCGGACGGAGATTCTTCTTCTTGCTGATTGGACGCTATTTGTAGAACCGGCTGTGTAGCTAGGCTACTGCTGCCTTCACGTACCTGACAGAAGATCAAATTTAAGAGACTTTGAGGATGAAGACGTGGTTTTAGTTGTTTTGTGTGGGAGCTGCGGCTAAAACACATCCAGCAAATTAGGTTTTAAACTTTTTGGAGACTGTAAAAGGGAAATAGTCAAAAACTGAATTAAAAGCTGTGATTTTTTTTTAACTTAATACACAGTCTTAGCAGCTGTTGACATGGTATCCATGATTTCTGCTTTCACCATCCAGAAATACAATTAAAAAGTATAACTGATAAATATATTCAAGTAAATCGCATCGTGACAAAGTATGTTTAAAGTTTCCCAACTCACTTTAAAGCCTAAAATACACGTAGGCTGTGTAACACTGTAAATTGGCCAATCTAAAAATAAGTAACGGGCTACTTCTGTTGTTGTTCAGTGTGTGTGTGTACCATGTTAAATGTTTCCTCAAACATGCAATAAAGATTTAAACGTGACAACTAAACCTTCTCGATGACAACTGAGCAACTTCATCCACTGAATATGAAAACCAGATGTGGAGGAAAGCTTCAGATACAAGTAAGTGTTTCTACTTTTCATTTTGGTAAAACATTTTCAGAGTTCAAATGTCTGTGTTCAGAAGTGTATCCTGAATTGTTTGACAGTACATTGTTGCTGCTTCGTCGTTGTATCCCTGTGATTTATGGGTTAAATGTCTGGCTGCAAATCAAATTTCCCATGTTGAAGTTGTTCAGACATGTTCCACGTTGTTGTTATTGTGCACTCGATTCTCAGTGCTCTTATTTCCTGCAGCGCTTAAAGGCAACACCGGTTATTGTAATAAAACAGCGCTTTTTCTGCACTTTATATATTTTTTACGACCCAAACCAGCTCTCATAATCAGTCCCAGTGAGAATATAAACACTTTAAAGTCTTCTCCGACATTTCCGGGGTGGCGAATGTTGTTGTGCATTATTCAAAGCGCGCTGCGCATCACGGAGCTAATTAGGATTTCAGTATAAATAAGGCCGCAGACGGGACAGCCCGGCCTGTCCTGCCGCTGGTGTCGGAGAGCTAAAGGTATAGAGGTTAAAACCCTTCAACGAGCTGCGAGCTGCTCCAACATGCACACACTCTGACCCGCCTCACGGATGGGACTCTACTCAAACCGGACCTGCGGAGATATCCTGCACATTTAACGGTCTAACGCAGAAAGTCTGTGGCTCATGAGCGCAGTGAAGATCCACCGAGGAGATTGATGTTTTTGGAGACTTTTTTAATGGCACTCGGCCCGACCTAGACAGGCTGCTGCTACCTTTATGGGACGGTGAAGGCGTCTTTGTGTTTTTTATGTTTTCTACTGACATCCAGACTCCTGCAGCTCCAGTGGAGAGACGGATTTCCTCAGCGGGTTGTTTTGGTTTCCGAGGGGGGGAAGGCGAAGTGTTTTTGGGGTGAGTGCAGCGCCAGTGACCTGCTGGAGGACACGCGTGTGTTTGTCAGAATAATCACTGATAGTCTTGCTGTTATAACCTCTCAGAGACTTATAAGTGTGCATGTGTAGTGAGTTTATAGCTGTTATTATATGGTGTTTGTTTCCTGTTGCACCAATGCATTTATAGTTTTCAAGTATTCATATTTTATAGCTTAAATGCATGGTAGCACTCGGCTTCTTGTGTTTTGGGATGCAAGCAGAGCCACTAAACTATGCAATGCATGGAAAAACATTCAAATATTCTGATGACATATTTATAACATTTGCATAACACTAATATCTCCCTAGAAACTTAAAGAGCGGTGTTAATGTCGTGATGTATGATATTCCTAAATCCCCTGCTCCTCCAGGATGACAGCACTGTAGGATTTATAGGCTTATAATTACATGTTTAAATTAATAATTAGGATACAATGTCTCCTTTCTTTAATGAGACACGTTTTGCAATTTGATCCTCGAGTTACATTCAAGAGCCAAAGACGTGCGACTCCTTCCAGCGGACACGATGTGCGCTATCTCCGTGTATGATCGCCTTCATCACCCTCATCTGTGCGCCTCTCTGGCTGCAGATCTCGGTCAGTGTTTTTGGGGGGCTTATGGTGCCACGTGAACAGGCGACGAAAACACCGTGAAAGGATGGATTTCATAACGCTCACGCGCGCACAGCCTGCACCTCTCGAGTGCATCTCTGCAGTGTGCAATGTTGTGTTTACATGCGTTCATATGGCGGGTATTGTACAGTGACAGTGGCTCGTGCTGCGTTGTGAATATTTCTTTTTCAATGAAAAGGCAGTTTAAAAAAAAAAACAGTCCATGAGTTGTTGTTGTTGTTGTTGTTGTCTTTAAGTCCACGCGCGTACTCGACGTCAGGACAGCAAGGGTAGGACGAGGGCAGGCTTTTGTTTGGGAGGTAGGAACCAGATTAATGTTTATTTTTAGCCATTTTTTCATAAACTAATGTCATCATTCATGGCATTATGTTTCAGATGTGGCTCTGCTCAGTGTCAGGATGATGCAGTACTGACACATAAACAGTGCAGCAGGAGGAGGAGGTGGAGGTGGTGGTGGTGGTGGTGGTGGTGGAGGTGGTGTGGGCGATCAGGCTACTGTTTTGTGTCTTTTAATCTTTTAAATAAAATAAGAATTTCGGCTCTGGCTCACATGTCAAAGCCTAAAGCAACACTCGAGGAATCTATTGATCTGTTTCTAAAATTAGCTAATAGGGCCAGGCTTGTTTTGGCTCAGAGAGCTGTGTGGTTGTTTTTCAGGAATAAGCATCCTATAATATTCCCACAGTGTTTCCATGGTGCTCAGTTAGGACTGAAGTTGACCTTTCCATGTTTTTTGGTGTTTCTAATATCTGATTGCATCATCCGCTGTGTTTGACATCCTCATAAAACATGTCAGGGTGCTTTTTCTTAAATTATTTTAACTCATATTGTCACTTAATCTTTCCACAGACTGATAAATATTAATATTTATCATGCAAATTGTAATTTGAGTGAAAAATGCACCAAAAACGTGCAGAAACCAAACGTGACTTTTCCTCTGGTTGCTACAGAGAGCTGCATGTTGAAAACTGAGGATGACAATCAAAACTAATGATGTTTCATATCAGAGAAAGAAGAGGATTCAGATTCATATTCTCATCTTGTATTTATTTACACATCCGGGTATCTGCGCGCTCCCTCCTCCTCTCAGTGGCGCCTTCACGTCGCATGGGAAATAAGCACTTCAGCAATAACAAAACAACTTTCAGAGCTTTGTTATCCTGAAACCAAAATATATTATTTAATTTGTTGCTTGTTATGCTCAAACACGTTAAATGTGATGCATCAGACTTCATGTTTTACAAAAAATAAAATGTATTTTGGACTTCACTAGCAACAAGTTTCAGTTGTTGAAATCAACAACCTGAAACCTGAAGTGAAACACATGTGGGGAACAAGTTTAAAGGACCTTTTATTTTTAGCAAGCATACAAAAGAAGCTCTGTTACTGTGTTTCGTAAGGCCCAACCCGAGCAAAAACACAAATATATACCTCAATTTAACAACCAAAAATATCATAAAGTTGAAGTAAATGTAGCTATTTACTCAAGGAATAACTGTAATTTAAGATAAGGTTAAGTTTAGTCAAAAATTGTCAAAAATAAATGGTAGTGAATAGCTATGATAGGCCTATACATTACACATAAATAGTAACTTCAAAGTGTATTAACACTCAAATAATCTCAAATAGATTAAAGGCTGAAGATTAATTTGTCATTTTACAACACAGTGTGGAACACAACTTGTAGACACACTGTCTAACTCGCAAAAATAATGATTTTAACACAGCAACATTTCGGTGACTAGACCGTCATCAGGGAAACCATATCGAGGTGTAGTCACCGAAATGTTTCAGCATTAAAATCATTATTTTTGCAAGTGTGCGGTAGTTTTATTTTTCTAAAAGTTGTGTTCTATTGTCCCTCTCCTACGCACCTTTTTGGAAATAGATGTGCTAAGTTTGTCTTTGTTCTGAGTTCAACACAGTGTGGACAATGAAATGCAAACTTGCTTTTTCACAATATACACACAGAGAACATATATAGAAATATTTAGGCCACTGCTTATTATTATTTATTGCTGTTTCTTGTATTTTTGTATCTTTTGCATGCCTTGTTTTTTTTTTAATTTTTAATCTGACTGTTTCTCTTCTTGACTGCTGCAACACTGGAATTTCTCAATTGTGAGATTTATAAAGGTGTATCTTATCTTATCATAGAGTAAAATCAAATAAAACAATATTTACAGTCACCTATATATGTATATTTATATACATGTGTGCAAGTGAAGATGAGGAAGTTGCAATAAATAATTAAATAGCAATCAAACAAGTATAAAATGATTAAAAACACATAGAAAAATAAACGAATTACAAATAAAAAAAAGGATAAAGAAATAAAAACATTTCATTTTCACCTCAAATGCTACTTAAAACCTGGTTTCCATCTTTCCCACGGGAGCCTGAAGGCAGCGCAGGCACCCATTGGTCAGCCCTGGCTGTCAATCACAGCTCCATCTCCCTCCCACGTGGTGACGTTTCCGTACCAAAGTAACCAGGCCAGTCCATTACGCACACAAAAGACACAACAAAAGCCCGTGTTGGGAAAAATGAGATCCGTCAGCACCCAAAGGACACAACAATAAGTTCCCATCTGGCAGCGTCACACATGGACCAGAGCCTGGGACGACGACAATCATTTATTTAACTTAAAAAAGACAACAAACTGAAAAACATCTTTCTCTCTTCAGCAGGCAGTTTTCCACCAAGCTGCGTTTTGCTCAGCTCTGATCCAGGTGGTGAGTACAGCAGCAGCAGCAGGGCAATGTTTACCTCACAAAACCTGGTTCTGGTGTCGTGCTGGATTCACAGACTGCATCAGGCTCGGAAAAACAAACAATCGGGGGGGAAAAAAGCAGCCAGATACTGGTAGCGACACTGTTGCGCTTGAGCTGGCGTCGTTGCTCTTTGTTGGGGATAAACACATTTTAGAAGAGGAGGAGGGGGGTTGCAAATCATGTCATGTCAAGATTAAGTCATTTAGAGTATTAAAATAATGTCTAAAACCGCATGTTGCGTTCAATGTGCTGTTCTGCGGGTTAGATTTAGTGGTGAGTGGAGCGAGTCTTTTGTCTGGACACTTCTTCCTGTTAGTGGTTACCAGAGACGCACAGTGTGCTGCCACTTTGTTTTCACTTTGCTCAGTTTGAATATCAGCTGTTCCTGCTGGGTTACCTGTCTACTCAACTCATATCACCTTTATTTTTTCATTTTCCTCTGTTTATCCTTTAAAACAGCGTCGTTGAAATCAAAATTTGACTCATGGCCATGTGATGAGGAAGGCTGAAACAAAGAAAGCACAAATTCTAGTGCCCGGAGATGATTTTGTAGGATTCACGACATCTTTTTAAGTATTTTTTCTTTGTTATAATTGAAGAAATAAACAGAAAATGCTCAAATAAGAGCATAAAAAGTGAACACAAATAAGACCATGTGCTGTCAGACGCTCTGAAGTGAGGAACTTGGCTTCACAGGGGATCAAAACAAACAAAGAAAAAGCTCCACAGACGTTTACTTGTCCTTATTTGGCATTCATGAAAAATAAGTCAAGTGTGTGCGTCGTGTCATGCTGTCTTAATGCAAATAACAGCATGCTTTTGTCTGTGTGTGTGTGTGTGTGTGTGTGTGTGTGTGTGTGAGTGATGCACTGCACAAAGCTGATATAATCACTAATGGTGATGATGCTGAAGTGTGACACACTCAAATCTCGTTTGTGTGTGTGTGTGTTTACCTTTCCTCGTGCACGTGCAGCCGGGTTAAACTGGGCTAATTCAGAAAGGGGATTTTGTCCTTTTCATGCAGGGATTATTCCTCAGGCACCTGTGCAGATTATACAGTATATGTATGTGAATATGGCTGGCCGGGGGGGGGGGTCACCGGGTTGCAGGCCGCCAGTTTTCACCTCTCTGTACCTTCCCAGTTGTGTAAATGTGTGTGTTTGCAGAGCAGCCATGCTTCACGTCAGGTCACGGCTGCTTCCTGTTGAGTTGCGGAAGCTCCTTTGTTTTCTCGTCTGGCTGATGGCTTCTGTCTCGGCGCTGCTGCTCTTCCTGTTGCAGCACATTGAGCTCGACTGGAAACTTCTGGGGCTCGTTGTCATTGTGTTTTCACTCTCAGGGATGCAGCAGAGTTATTGTCGCAGTTTTTTTTAACAAGGTGGAACCTTTGTTGCGCTTTTGTTGGTGGTTAGAGTGAGCGTCGAGCCTGTGGGCCGAGAGAGACAATGTATTTATGAGACAAAGAGTTTTTTTCCTAAACTCAACACTCAGGTCATCTATGACAATGTCTGTCCTTTTGTTATAAATTACAAATACTTTTTCAGATCATCAGGTATCAGGTAGCAAACAATTACAATTTGAGGTCTTTGTACTTTACTCAAGTATTCCCATTTTATGCCACTTTACACTGTGACTCTATGACATTTTAATAAGAATAATAAGCTTTATTTATACAGTGTCATTAAAAACAAAGCGCTTTATATGTTTAAAACTGGAACAAAAACATTTCAGAACTGCAATGACATTAAAGGAGCAGTGTGTAGGATTTAGTGGCATCTAACAGTGAGGATTACAGATTGCGACCAGCTGAAACTTCACCTAACTCCCGTTTAGGATTCCTTCAGTGTTCATTGTTCAAGAGGTTTTTACAGTGAGCCGAATTATCCGCAGAGGTCTCTTCTTCTGCAAAACAAACAAACCAGGTGATTGAAACTGGTAGAAACACTGAATAAAGCAATTTCAAGTTATAAATCAGCGTTTCTGCAATGCTGTTCGGCTCATCGCTAGCCAAGCACCTGCTAATGTGTGCTCCCCTTTTTTTCCTCTCCTTCTACAAAACAAATAGATCAGGTAATTAAAACTGGTAAAAACACAAAATAAAGCAATTTCAGGTTATAAATCAGTTTCTCTGATTCTGTTCAGCTCATCACTAGCCTAGCACCTGCTAATGTGTGCTCACCTTTTTTCTCCGGTAACTTAAGATCTTGACGTGCAGGAGGTTTTTAACAGGAGCTGAAATATCTGCAGAGGTCTCCTCCTCTCCGAAACAAACTGATCAGGTGATTAAATCAGTAAAAACACAGGATAAAGCAGTTTCATGTCAAAAATGAGCGTTTTTCTGATGCTGTTCAGCTCATTGCGAAGGGGGTGCTAACTATGGTGGCAGCCTCTCCGGATGAGGTCCCGCTCCGTATGTAGATATTAACGGCTCTCAAGTAACGAAAACACAATGAGTCTTATTTTCAGGTTATTATACACTAAAGTAAACATACTTATTGTATTATATTGCATTTCTGCCCCCTGAATCCAACACAATGGACCTTTAAATCACACAACAGTACTCATTAAAATGAAAATGAAATTCCCAAAACTAATATAAACATTGAAAGCAATAGCTATAACAAGATAAGATATGATTAATGCTGGTGCATTTTGACAAGTAATTCTAAACATGCCACTGACTCTGAAAGCCTCAGATCCCCAGGCAGGGAGTTACAGATCGGACGGCCCTGACTCTAAAATCCTGGTCACCTTTAGTTTTGAGCTGTGAGAAACAGGCAGCAAAGCTCTGCCTGAGGATCTGAGGCCATGACTCATGCTCAGAAATGTAGCTGGGAGCTGGACCATGAAGTGCTTTAAAGGTAATCAGTAAAATCTCGAAAACTGACTGGTAACCAGTGAAGACAGTCTGAAACAGGAGTGATGGAATCTTGTCTCTGTGGTGTTTGTTGAAAGACGAGCAGCTGCGTTCTGTACGTGCTGAAGGCGTGAGATGGTCTTTGGGTTTAACCCTGAGTACAGTGCAGTGCAACAATATAACCGAGATGGAATAAAAGCATGAATGACCTTCTCAAAATCAGGCCGACAGAGATTTCGAGGCATTTATTGTACTATTCAGTCCACTACATTTATTTGACAGCTTTAGTTAGTTTGTACATTTAAATAATGAATATAAAAAATAATCAACCAATATATTCTTATGCATCTTTGCAGGTTAAGTTACCCAACAGTATACAAAGTAATTTAATTTATCCCCACCTTCGCCACTTAAGTGATGTATACATCACTTATTATAATTCGGTAATATGATATGCATTATTGTCAATGGATCTATTACTGAACGGGCTCAGGCCCATGGGCCCGAAGTGTCAGGGGCTGGCTGCCACCTGCAAGATGTCACTCAAATTAACATAGGCACTCGAAAAGACCTTGAAGAGATGCAAAGGAACTAAAAAGAGACACAAATTTACCAAAGAAAGAAAAAAATGTACTTGAAAGAGACAAAATTACCAAAAAAGACACTAAATATACCTCAAAGAGACACAAAATAACCTAAAAGAGATGCGTAACAACCACAAAGAGATGCACAGGAACTACATAGAGTCACAAAACAACCAAAAAAAGACTCAATATGTCTAAAAGGGACACGCAAATAACCAAAAAAGACACTAAATATATGTCAAAGAGCCACAAAACAACCACAAAGACACAAAATGACCTAAAAGAGATGCAAAATAACCATAAAGAGATGCAAAGGAACTATAAAGACTCACAAAATAACCAAAAAAACACGTCAAAGAGACAAAAAAGACACAATATACATCAGGGGGCACAAGATTACCTCAGAGAGATGCAAAGGAACTAAAAAGAGACACAAAACAACTACAAAGAAACACAAAATCACCAAAAAATAACAAAATGTATGTGACAGAGACAAAATGACCAAAACAAGACACTAAATATAAGAAGAGAAAAAAGAGATGCAAAATAACCAAAAAAAAAATCAAAGAGACAAAATGACCAAAAGAGACACTAATTATATGTCAAAAAGACACAAAATTACTTCAAAGACATGCAAAAGAAACAAAAAGAGACACAAATTGACCAATAAAAGGACAAATTATACATCAAAGAGACACAAAATGTTCTAAAAGAGATACAAAGGAACTACAAAAAAGTCACAAAACAACCAAAAAAGGACACATTATACGCCAAAGAGACAAAATGACCAAAAAAGACACTAAATATACGTCAAAGAGACACAAAATGTCCTAAAAGAGATACAAAGGAACTGCAAAGACTCACAAAACAACCAAAAAAACCACAATATACGTCATAGAGACAAAATGACCAAAAAAGACACTAAATATACATCAGCGACACAAAGTGACCTCAAAGAGATGCAAAAGAAATTAAAAGAGAGACAAAATGACCAAACAAAGACACATTATACATCAAAGAGACAAAATGACCAAAAAAAGACATAAAATTTACCTCAAAAAGACACATAGTCACCTCAGAGAGAGACAAAATGACCTTAAAGAGATGCAAAATAACTACAAAGAGATGCAAAGGAACTACAAAGAGTCACAAAACAACCAAAAATACTAATTATACTGTCTGGTTGGTCTGTGCCTGGGGGAAATAAAAGATCATGAGGTGCACAGAAAATATATTTTCTAATAGTCTAACTGTAGTAAATATAAATATAAGAAGTGAAAGCCTCTGTGGTTCAGCAGATACATGGCACCACCCAGTCTAATTTTAATCAACAACAAAACACAACATAGTCGACTCACTGGTGATCCATGACAGCAGTGCAGCCATTCACTCAGCGGTCACTGCAGCCAGGTACTCACAACCTTCACTTAAAGTACTATTATTGTGATGTATGCATAATTAAATTAAAACATGTTGCACCTCACAAGCTAGTTGTAACATAGAGATTAGTTTTACCTTAA